TGAAGACATACGAAGCTGTAAAATAAAAAAGACTGGCACATGAGTAGGACAAGAAATACTGTGCAAGTACTTTGAATGTTTAATGTTCTACAAAATAGTCACATTTTCAAAATCCCACTGAACTCAGTGCAAAGAAATACAAGGATAAATTTGACAGTAGGCCACTAAGGACAGACACACAGCTATCCACCCCATTAACTCCCCCCTCAACCAGTCCAAGTGACAGTGGGACAATACACACGAGACACTGAGGGAAGTTTTGCGTCCTTTTGCTTACCCTTATAACCTGCACGAACCCTTCCCTTCCCATAAACAGATTCTCGGCTGCATCATACCAGAAACCTGTCCAAGATCGACTGAGCCTAGTCCAACCAAGTTATCCATGGAACATTTCCCCTCCCCCCAGCTTTAAAATATCAACTAGCATCAGAGTTTTCATTTTTTTGCTACTGATAGCAGGTTCCACAGCTGTTACCTTCTGTCCCTTCAATGCCAAGTGAGAAAAGTCAGATCCAATCATTATGAATATACTTATCTAAACAGAATGAAACAGCTAATCTGAAACATCTGCCCAAGACTATTACTCCATAAACGAGATGGTTGAAGTGTGACTCAGTTCACCCAAAAGAAAGAGGTAACCCATAGTGAAGGCTTAAGGAAAAAACAAAGTTGAAAAAAGGGTGTGTTTACTTTTAACAGCAATTTAATCTACAAATTTCAGTAAAGGCAGTAAAGCTCAGAGCATCCTTGCACAGATAAAAAAGTACTGCTTACTGTGGTGAACCATAATACAGGTTCACACCCCTCTGATTCCTTCCTCACAGACCAATTACACTAACAACTCAGTCCAGCTGTTAACACCCATCCATATAATTAGCAAAGTCACTGACCAAGGCACAAACCCCACTATTTTTCAAATGCATGACAACATGCTTTTAGAGAAGAAAATGGATGTAAATAGAATATTCAGAATTTTGATAACAGAGAAAACTCTTTTGAAAAGTTTTTTCAAAATATTTCAAAAATACTAGGAGGCTTCTATGCCTGCTACGGGTTTCCTTTTGTTTTGAAGCAACAGACTAAAACCAAAGCACAGGGCTCATCAGTGATTCAATACAGACAGCTCATACTCAAAATGAGCCCAAGCATCTAAAACACTGACCTAAAATGCTTCATCCGTTTAAGAGTGCCACGGTGTTTTGAACAAAATATTTTAAATTCATCTCACCTCACATGGGAGAACCTGCTAGTGTATACACCCAAAAAATTGTGTCCTGTCCCTTCAAACCTTGCCCGCCCCCGCCAAGATACCCATGAAGACAACGCACAAGGAGCACACCCATTAAAAGTAGCAAAGCACGCATTTACCTCTTTAGAATCATCAATTCTCTCAAAATAAACGAAAGCAAATCCTCTTGATCGTCCAGTCCGTTGATCATAAACAACATTGACACCAGTCAAAGGTCCATAACGGGAGAAGACTTCACGCAAATCTCTCTCGGTAGTATACAAACTGAGACCAAACACTCCAAGGCATGTATTGGGATCTGGATTAGCCTGGCAAGACAAACGTTCAAGTTAAAAAACAAGTTGTACATTCCTGTATCAGAATTTGTCAATTATTTCACCACTGGTACTGAAGAGTGCATGTTGCCTCCGTTTGCACACACTAAATGCATTTGAGCTCCTAAGCACAGACAGCTGAACCACAATTTAGCTTCTACTAAAACTCCCCAGCACCACCACATCTCTTACCCAACTATACCGAAAGTTTCTCTCTGTCCACTCGTAAGCTGGATGAAAATCACCAGCTTCTTTCACACAGACAGCAACAAGTGCTGAAGACCAGTTCTGCGAGACTGTAACCCAAAAGCAGGCACGCTTCTACAGCAAGACTTGGTTCATACCCAAGCGATGTGGGGTACAGAGCTACTTAATATACTGCACTTCAACCAGAAGTCAAACGAAATAGTACAAGCTACTGTAATTCATTTGTCTTTTAGGTTCAAAGTTTCTCCACATGCCAGGAAGTTCATCTAATGCCAATTCCTCCGTAGGAAGTATTTTGATCAAAATGAGTACTTCTGTTAAGCTTCTGGCACCTGTTACGCTAGAGGCAGCAATTTAGAAAGGCAGCAACAGGCATAGGGGTTTCATGTTTCTGCTAAAACAGTAACTGCAAGTCGACATAGCAGCAACAGGCATAGGGGTTTCATGTATCTGCTAAAACAGTAACTGCAAATCGACATAGTTGAAATTTGTATTTCAGACTTTCAAATCCACTGGTAACAGTCATTTATGCCTCAGAGCTTGCCTTTCAACCTGATTCAAAGATTGAACAGGTTTAGATCTTGTCGTGTTCTCTTCAGAGCTTTTGTTCAGATTCCATTGTGAAAATAAGATTCCCAAACTACTCATATATTTGAAATTTCTTTCTTTACATTTGCAAAGTTCAAACTTTTGTTTTAAGACTAAGTCTTCTACAGTTCCTTACTATTGATTAAAAGCACAAGAAAAACTGGTAGTTTGTCATTTGAAAGTTTTAATTATACAGCTTTAGGTTTTTTTACTCCATTTCAATCTACCTGACAATTCAGTGACATTAACAGCTATACTCCTTTTATTACTGAAACTCTTCTAAGCCTAATGAAATCTCCCAGTCTATTAAACCACTGTTCGTACAAGTCCCTCCACACAGTACGTTGTCAGCGTTGTCCTTTTTCACTCCGCCCTTGCGCTTAAACCCTGTTGTCTTTTTTAAGGCAGGAGAAGTACCGAGAATCAGCCGGTGCACCCTAACCGATCATCACTAGAAGGACTAATGACTGCAGAGGACAAGGAGACAGCTTCTACATCAGGTTTTGGTAATGCCTCCTATCAGCAGAGTCTGCAAGCTCTCTCTACAAGGTCAGAAGTGGGAAAATTGCTACCAATTTTCTGGGTGTCTTTAGGGTCTTGTTACTTAAGGGATACACATCTCAATGATTAGAGTTTCATTCTGATGCTCCTAGAACTACTCCTCAGAATTAATGTGACATTCACTCCAAAAACAAGTTTCGGGTCTCGCAGTCATTTCCAAGGCAAAAAGGCTTCTTCACAGAGCAAAATATTCTAATATTTCCTGAAGTAGTAAAGTGGATCATTCATCTTTCATCAGAAACCTGCTAACCTCTTTGAAGTTCAGTTATGCCTGTCAATTTCTCAGGACTTTAGATTCGTATTTACTACACCGTGATTACACACTGGCAAACAATCCACAAATAGTTTATGAATGTTGCTTCACAACAGCTTAAGCCGCTCTACATTAGCACTGTGGTAGCCTTGCCCTTTTCCACACACACTCTTGTCTTCTCCCTCACACTGGTATCATCTGCTCCTGGTGAGCTGCTTCACCAAGCTAGGCCTGCAAAAAATCTATACTCTTTTTGGCAGGACTCGTAAAAATTTTGGAGCAACTTAAAGGATGAGAAAAGTACCACGGCCCTCATCAAGGAAGAGACCTGTGTGTAACAGCACTCATTTGGATCAGCCTGAAGAAATGTGGAACCAGAAGCTAAGGCACTGCAATGGATTATAAAGGAGGCCATTGGGAAGAACATCTCAGAATGACATATGATCAGTACCTCCAGTGCTGGTTGGTGTACCTATACTTCCTCCTGTCCATACAGAAATAATGAATTGCTTCTCATTTAAATTTTGAGAGGCTTACTGGTCCCTTCTCATAACTGTCAATTTTTCTAGGGTATTAAGAATTTACACATTATCTAGTAACACATGGGTTTATTTCTTCAAATTCATTACCCAGAGGTACAAAATCCTAAGCAACCTTCAACGTAACATACTGCATGTTATAAGCAAATAAACACGTGAGAATTTTCTACTTTGGGTCCTCTAGTCAATCTTATCAGTACTTTCAGTTTGGCTTTTATAAGCAAGGGTGTACACAAAAGGTCTTGTTTGTGAAGGGCACATATAATTGAAACTATAACAAAAAAGCCCAGAAGGGTTCAACTTCTAGAGCAGATAAAAACAGATGTCACCCCATCTGCACACACTACCTTGAAATGGTATAGTTTTTCCGAAAGTTTCCACAACTGCCTTGCCAGTTGCAGGCCCAACAAAGCGCCCAGCTGTAAGGGCAAAGCTTGCTGCACCCCCTCCCAATTCCCGTAACCTCCAGTGACAAGATAGAAGGTCAAATCCAGCCTACAGGTAACCTGGACTACACTGACAAAAGTGTCAAGTTTTGTGGATACTCAGCCTTGATGAACATGACATACTCTGCTGCCAGTGTGCCTCCTCCTGTTGGACATGGGAGAATGGCTACGGCTCCTTCGACGACGGTATTCTGGTGTGTACGATCTGCTTCGAGAACGTCTCCTATGGGAATGAGAATGGGAATGGGATCTGGAACGAGTGTAACGTCTGTGCGAATGTCTTCTGGACCTGGATCTTCAACAAAGAGAAAGCTTTTAGTTAGGTCATATGCACATAATATACTGAATTCTAAGCCTCACATTTCCTAGTTTTCCAGAATCTCTCTACAACTAAAATAGTCAAGTTTCTTCCACTTTGTGCGTCTAAAGATTGCGTGAATCTCTAATAACCCACTTGGGAGCATGATTTTTAACTTTTGACATACAATGAGGATTATATTCCCGACAAAAAGTTCAAAGTTTAAACTTACATCAGCTTGGCTGGACATGTAACTAACACTTACACAATGATACAGAAACCAGACAGGCCACACTGTAAAATACTGTCTTGGCTGAAAAATGGAAAGATCTGGAAGTGCTGCAGTATCTACAAATGAAGTTCACCTAGAACTGAAAATGATTCGAGACCAAAAATAACCTGCTTAACTCCTCAAGCATTTCTTTGCAGAAATCTAGCCAGCGATAAGCTCAGTTTTGAACTGGCATCATCCCATCAAAGCTGTATAATTTCATACAGTCATGTCCTAACAACAGGTAGTTTTCTGGCTAAATGTTGTAAGAAGAGAAGCTATAATGTTGTTGAATTTTGGGAATTGAGACTGCACGAGTATGAAGTGCATAAATCGGGAAGATTGATTACTGATCTCTCCCAAGAACTGGGGAGGAGGAACAACGTAATACTATGCAACTCTCCTCTTCCCCCTCCAGGGTTACAAATGCTGGTTTCTCTCTCCATAGATGAGAGAAGGATTTGGTAGCTCTCCCGATTTTCTCTTGAACCATCACACTAGTCAAGAGACAAGAACATAGGTAGGATCAGCCAGAAGTTTTATGACATATTTAGAGAAAAAACAGACATTCCTCCTCTATTCTGAGCAAGCTCTCTCAGAGCTCTAAAACTTTGTCTCTGCACACAAACACTTGGGGGTAGATAGAAAAAGGACAGAAAAATACATGTACAGCATAAAAAAAAAAAATCCTTAAGCTCCCATATATCAAGAAGCTATGCATGCTCAATTCAAGCTGCAATTTTCGGATTTTGTTTTTAAAGCCTCCAATGAAGGAATGTCAAGGACTTCCCCAAGTAGCATCTGCCAACATTTCCAACGGTTACAGGGCTCACTCCTTAGTTATCTAACCCAGACTACCTCTGCTGCAGTTCTCCCTTAATTTCCACACACACCCTCCAAGCAAGGTCTACACTAGAGTTCCCCCTCAAAAGATTTTGGGGAAAGAAGGCATAAGCTTTTACAGAAGTGAGATGTAATTCCTTCTGAACTGAGATACAATCCATTTTCTCTCTTCTAGAAGAGATAAACCTACAAATTTTAACTGTGATTTCTACATTACATCTATTTATGTTACTTTCTCTACACATACCCATGCTTTATTACTCATGGATTCTTTCCCCAACTTTGTCCACCTGTATAACCACTAACATGTAAATAAACACCGTCCTCTTAATACACCCCAGCACGTTTAGTTTTCGTAACAAGGGGTGAAAAAAAACCTCACTGATGTAGCAAAAGAACATGCGTAAGCAGTAACACTGAATTAACATGAATAACTTCCTGTACATACCTCGATTTTGATCTTGACCTAGAGTGCGATTCAGAATGTTTGGAAGCCCTCGATGGACTGCGAGATCCTGACCTGCTCTCCGATTTTACACGAGCAGGACTCCCAGCTGGGGATTTTGACTGGGAGCGAGACTCCTAACAAAAAAGACAGTATTAAAAATGGTATTGGTTGTACAAATGCCTAACTCCTAACGTTTAAAGTACAGTAATTCTATTATATTGATTGCTCCTGAAAAACAAATGGTTAGGCAATACCCTCCAAAACAAATTTCATTTTGCTAACCCACTGTTAATATTGTATGCTTTCCTCAAATAGGTCCCTGCTTGAACCAGATCACCAATTCTCTATTAACTAGGTAATCATGCAAATTCATCTACAACTTGATCATACAGACACTGGAACATAAACCATACATTTACTTAACCTAGGACCCATTCATTCTTCCAGATTCTTTTAATTCTACTTCACTCTTGCTTTCTACTTTTCTTCATTCTTCATTGAGTTTTTCATTTTTCATACTTCGTGTATTCTTCCCCAATTCAAACAATTCATTATAGCCTTAAAAAAACATTCAAGTGCTTCTATCTGACCAATCTTCTGTTCAATTTTTTCCCCCATTCAATTTTAATTTTCTGATCTTTAATACTTTTCATTAGCCTTCTTTTATCTTGATTTATCTTCCACATTCTTGGAAAAAACTCTTCAATTTCTTCACGAACATTAACCTTAATGGAAAAAGAACATTTAGTATATTTAAGCACGTGGGGATTATAAAACTCTGCTGGAGTTCAGATGTTATCTACCAAATTGAAAAACCAGCAGGTAAAGTGCAAGAAACTATTTTATAAAACAACTTAAAAAAAAAAAATCTTTAAAACTGTATAAGTGTCTACGTTCTAACAATGAGCTTACTGAGATCTCGGTGCTTTACTGTATTTTCAAAGCTACCCTCCTCCCCTTTCAGGTATTTTTGTAAGATACAGATACACTAAAAACTAATTAGCACAAATATATTAAAGTATTGATATCAGTAACTGTGATTTCCCCCTAAAATAACAACTATGTACTTCTCAGTATTGAATACCCCAAATTCTACTCCTAGATGTTACTACCAAGACACTCTCATTCAACAAAATGGCTCAAGTTTTCCAGTCAAAACCTATTTATGCACATACTTACACACAATACATGCACATATATATGCAAGACAAATTATGTTTCTTTCTACTTTTTCTTCCTCATTGTCATCCTGTTTTCCTTGCATACAATGTAATCCATATTAAAAAAACAGTACAGTTCAAAGCAATCTTAAAAGTAAAGACAGGAGAGGGTTTGTCTTGCATGATAATGCACAAGAATAAAACTAGGAAAACAAGCAAACAAAGAGTTGGTTAGGATTTCCTCACATTCTGTAGTGCACAGCACTTCTAGGGAGCTCAGCTATAAAACACCCTACAGAAAAGTACGCTACATACATCTGAAACTTCAGAGAGATGTTCACAGCAAGGTCCCCTCCCCTATGTGTTACATTTCATATGATTTGCATAATTTCTCCTCCTGCCTGTCCTCACAATATTTTTCTCAATTTTTTTCTTCCTCTGCCTATATCAAGATTTGCATTTTCTTTTGCAGCTTTTTTAGTACTCTGGGGTGGTTATTTTCAAAGGATGCTGCTTTCCCATTTCACAACAATAAATCCACCAGAAATGGAACCTGAGAGACCACTAACAAGCCTTTCAGCTCACTACCCTTCCCCTTTACCTCAGTAAAAAGGGTAAGGGACACATGGATAATGTCACCTATTGGGATGATAGGTTTGCCAAACTTAGGAAGGCCAAATTTGAAGCTTGGCTGTGCTCGTGGACCATAAAAATCACGTCTACATTACAAGTTACCCTCATTAAGCTGGCTCTCTGCTGATCTAGCTACATGACTTTCACTGAAATAAAACTATGTATGTGTACTTTAATATTACCAGATCTTATTTTGGTGGTTTTATTTTTACATGTGAAATACACTTCATTATAAAAAATAAATTTCTTTTTAGAACCACTAACATGCCTTAATTACCTCACCTGTATTTTTGTACCCTTTACACTTCATCCCCTGCAACAAGTACCAATTTCTCTAGGAATTATTTCCCTCCCTAATAGAGGTGATCAGCAATATAGAAAAAAATATTCCATGTGACATGACTCAGATTTAGAAAACATCCTCCAATAAAGAGACAAAGAATTCACTCTCCTCAGTCACTCCTTCATGAGGATACTGTGTTGTCCATACTTTTTGCATTTGAAAGATAAATTCTTGAACAACAGAACTTTGGAAACTTGAACAAAACAAAAAACCCACACCAGAACCCAGATACTGCACAATCTAGGAGGATTCTGCATAATCAAATACCAAGGACCCAAACACACTCATGCAATGTATAAGTTAGCTTGGCGTCCTTAGCTATTCAACTGAAACATCTTATTACACCACCCATAAAGTTTCTAATAGTAGCAGTTACCACAATGAATCTTCATGAAGTTGCCAAACGCAAACGTTACAAGGTTTCACGTAGGTGAAGTCTTTTAGGAACTATCTTTTTAAACCCTTTAGAGGCTGCACTCACAAACACACAATTGGAGTGACACAGGTGACAGCATAGGTTCTTACACATTCCAAACTTCCTCAAAGTAACCGTAGATGTAAACTGCAGCTAAAGAGAGATTACCTGTTAGCAGTTGCACACTGCGTCTGTCATTGGCAGGCAATTACATCTCATCTTCTGATGCAACATAGATCACCTAGTTATATCTCCTACAGTGCTTCAGAAGGAAAGACTAAGGGAATCACAATGATCTGCAAGAGTTTAAGGACTTACAGATGACACTGAAAAAGTACCTAGTAAGATTTATATCAGCAAGACTACAGGCAAGGATTAAGAGATTCAGAGCTTCAGTGAGTCAAAAGGCGATTTTAAAGATCTTTTTTCCTACTCTACTTCTTACTTTAAGGAAATAATTAGCAAGCTGTAACCTAGTCTGTATCACAGACAGACCCAACTGTTCTGCATAAACCATTCACATCCATTTTACGATATGAACAAGAAAATTAAATATTTAACTTTCTTTCTTAGTATGTCATCTTTAATGGGATAAAATAGGCACCTCTTATCCAAAGCATTACAATCTCTCGATTCCGTACCAGTCTTTAACCAATCTATACATTCTGATCCTAGCTCCATCATTATCACAGACAAATCATATTTAAACGATGCTTAAGAGAGAAAAGGCTAAAATCTCTCTCTGGATCCTCAATATTTTCTTATCTTTCAGTTCTAAAGAGCCTCGGTCATTTAAGGGCCACAGATAAAACTGCATTTCTTACACTCAGCTTCTCACCCCAAAACTATCTTATAAAACCTATGCATTTTATTGCATTCTGCAACTGTCCAATCACTACTTTCACCCTTGCAAACCTACAGGCAAAGACTCACTGCGACCACATCAAACTATCTAGACTTGCTATCACTGTCACCTATAGGACCTAATTTCCTCATATTCTTCAGATCAGACTTCCCTTTCAAAACAAATGCTACACCTACCAATAACACTTTTCCCAGGATAATAATAAAAAAAAAACCAAACCACCAAGTGAACCAATCAACCAACCGCAAACAAAACCCACCAAAAAAAGAGACACCCAAAGGCCCCACCTAAAAAATAATAATTAAAAAAATCTCAATTGCAGGACTGTGCTTCCTCAGAATAAGATATGGTGGCTTCCTCAAGTACATACCAGGAAATGTGATTAATGATTCACCAAGAAGTGGAACCGGGAGCCAAAGAAATTACTGTAGGTAAACGTAAAATGTAAAGACTGCAGCTTCAGTTACTGATTCTCTGGGTACGAAAATGCCCAGCTAGAAGCACTGAAAGAGAGCACTGAAGAGCATTTTTCATCCTTTCTACCTCCTCTCTCCCCAAAAGGAACAACCTAAAATGGTATGAAAAGGATACTCTTCCCCTGCCCCCAACACTACTCTCACTATCACATAAACCCAGTCACTGAACAACTATCCACAACTGTAGACAATCCAGCTGAGCAAGATGTCAGTCATGTCAATGCACTTCATCCATACTCATACAACTGTGTAAACTACATAACTGATGCAAGTTATAGCGACCGTTCATCTTCCTTGCATCCTTCAGAAAAAATGTCACTTTCCAATATAATTACTATTTTAAAAGCATTTGAAACACTTCTACACAAAGCAGAATTGCAAAAGTCTTTAAGAAGTACTCTTCCAGTTTTCCACCTATCATGAGTGGGTATGAAAAAGAATGGGGTGAGGGAAGACAAGATTTTCTTTATTTTACACCACTCTTCCTGCCCTGAACTTTTGTTATGCCTTGCCTCACCTCACACCTTACCATTTCAGAGTACGGCATAAACGCAATCAAATTATGAAGTGAAAATCTAAATAAAAAGAATGGAATAAGCTTAAATTGGGCTTTCCATAGTCAAGTATGGGAAGTGGAATAGGAAATTAAAAAAATCATTAAGTCACACATATTTCAGTTGAAATTCATTTGCCTTTGTCAAGAAATACACATGGGGTGAAAAAGGACAAGACAACAAGTAGTCCAGCAATACCATTAAGCCAGCAAAATGATAGTTCAGACATTGCAAAAATCCTGCTAAAAGCTCCTGCCCAAACTCAAAAAGTAAATGAAGTTCAACTTTGTAAGGGGACAGAAAAATAAAGGCAGTCAAAAAAGAAACAGAAATTTAGCAGCAGCCTACATTCACTGGATAAAACTGTCAATTTAATGACAACTCGTTTATGAGAAAGGACAAGATTACACTTTTAAGGACTGCTTTGACAGAAATGTACCAACTTTCCCTGAAACTCACAAGAGAAGATAAATAATCTTTGCTTCATGCTGTGTTCTGTCACTCTATAGTAAAAATATACCCCATCTCTTAATCAGCTGTTCCTCTCTGTATCAACAGTACAGGTAATAAGCTTCTGTATGAAATGCAACTTGTAAGTTCTGCCTTCTTGAAGACATACATACTTTAAAAGTTACCAACATCAGCAACCTTCATGTATTTCTCAATGATGCTGCTGTGAATTAAGAAAAAAAAAAAGGGGGGGGGGGGAAGCTTCAGCAATAAACTTTTTGAAAGTACAAGTTAATCTTCTCACTGAGGCTTGAAAATACGCCTCTTGAGGGAGGGTTCTGTAGTCACTCTGATCAGATATGAAAAGAAAGGAAGTGGAATTTGTTTTCAAAAAGAACAGTCTTCCCAGCTGACATGGTCCAGAAGAACCTAGAATTTATAAAACTTGATTAAAAAAAAAAAAAAACCAACACCACAACAACCCACAAAAAAACCCAAACACACACACAGAGAACCAAACACAAAACAAACACTGACTTCCAGAAAAGGAAAAGTCTTCTTTCCCAAGACTGGTCATCAGAAACCACACAATGATCACAGCACTCTCCAAGTGAATAAAGAACTCACCAGCATAAGCA